ATTAATCAAGAAGAACCTAATGTATATATAATATCAGGAAATATCGAAGAAAGTGTAGACATTCTCTTTGAATCGGCAATACTTAACAACAGAGGAACGTTTATATTAATCGTAGATAAAATTAGTGATAGTTTAATAAATGTATTAAAAAAATATTTTTTACATAAGTCTTTAATATTTGTTATAAATAAGACAAATGACGATTATCGGGTATTTACTTGCTCTCTTAATGGATATGAATGCATTGCAAGAGAAAAACAATGCACGAATGCCTTATTTGAGAACATTGAGATGAAAAGAGTAGTCAAATTGAAGGTACTGTGGTCATCCAATCCACCATTCATAGTAAGTCCCAGTGAAGGTTTGCTTTCTGAAATTATTAATATAGTCTCATTGGATATGAATTTAAAGGTAAAATATTTAAGGGCTTCTTATATTCCGAATCCTTTCGAAGTTGTCCCCATGTTTAAGTCCAATAGCTACGATTTGTTATGTATGCTATTTACCAATTATACCTCTCAGTTCGACAAAACTTACACATTTTTAGAAGACAAAAATGTTTATATAATGCCTAGAATTGTAGTTACCAATGATTTAGCAATATTCTATAAAGAATTTGAATCTCCTGTATGGATTTTCTTCTTCGCTATATTACTTATTCTTTCTGCAGTATTCAAACTCCTAACGTTAAGAAAGAATAAAAAGAGTACTTCAATTATTATAATTATTACTGCGGTTGTATTTGAAGGATCGATTCAAATGTCATCGAAAACCAGATCGCTCAAATTATTACTACTTACTTATACTATATTTAGTCTACTTTTTACAACAGTCTACAGAACCAAAATGTTCGATTTACTAAAGACAGATCTATCTTTGCAGATGATTACGACCCCAGAAATAGCTGTTCAGTATAATATTAAAATGGGTTTTGCAGGAAACCACTTTATTAACATGTTTAAGATGTCTCACGATCCAGTTGATCGCAAGTTTATCGATAATGATCTTGTTGTTAATTGTTTTAAACTTTAGCTACTGTCAGGATAGAGTAGCTTATGAAAAAGACATATTTGCAATGCGTCTTTTGAAATCTTTGCAATATATAACACCGAAATATTATCTAGACACTGAAGGAAAGTCTCTTTTTTATGTCCAATCTATTCCGTTCACTATGCCATACTATTTTGGTATTCTGTTTCGGAAAGGTCATCCCTCGTTTAATTTATTCAATAGGAAGTTACTAACTCTGAAGGAAACCGGAGTCATAGATTATTTGTACAAAAAATTAGAGAGAAGTTTTGTGAAAGCCATTGCTCGGGCTGGTTTGAAATATTCCTCAAAATATTCAGATCTTAGTTTAAAAACTTTTCAATCTACGTTTTTAATATATTTAGTTGGAATATGTATTAGTTTGGTAGTGTTCGTAGGCGAGGTTTTGTTTCACAAGCGCCATTAAAGTTATTTGTCAATGCGATCATATTTTTCAATTTCAATTCAAAGTATTTTGTTGATTTTACTAATAAAAATGTGTCCTATTCTGTATAGTAATTTCACTTTTGTTGGCAGAAAATAATATAATATATTTATCTTTATAACGGAGTTATAGATTTATTTATCTTTATAATGGAGTAAAGCTCAATTACCTGCGGTATGCAGATGATACAATAGTGTTTTCCAATACCATAGAAGGGCTGCAAAACTTAATGAACAAAATAACGGAAACAAGTAGAAAATATGGACTGGATATAAACACCAGCAAAACCAAGCTAATGATCATCAGCAAGGAAAACATAACTGGAGCAAATCTGTATGTGAACCAAATGAGAATTGAACGTGTCTTATAATACAACTACTTGGGAACTATAATCAATGAGTCGTGGGACAATTCCCAAGAGATTAAATGTCGCATCAGAAAGGCAAAAACTGCATTTTTGACTATGAGTTCTGTGTTCAAGAGCCATGACCTCACCCTAGAAACAAAAATAAGGCTTCTTAAATGTTATGTGTACTCAGTGCTTCTGTACGGAGTAGAAACGGGGACATTGAAAGCGGAAACTTTATCAAAACTTCAGGCTTTTGAGCTATGGTCATACAGAAGGATCTTGAAGATACCATGGACAAAGTCACCAATGAAGAAGTACTGCAAATTATGAACACAACTGGGGATTTGGTCAACATCGTGAAGGGCCATAACCTGCAGTACTTGGGACATATAATGAGAAATCAAGGCAGATACGAGCTACTTCAATGCATTTTACAAGGTTAAGGAAAAAGGGTCCCAGGACGAAGAAGAATATCCTGGATTGCTAACCTGACAGAATGGTATAGTAAGACCTCAACACAGCTATTTCGTATAGCAACCAACAAAGTCATCATAGCCAGAATGATCTCCAACGTTCGGAACGGACAGGCACCCTAAAAAGAAGATCTTTCCCCCCAAAGTAGGTGTACCGTGGAGGACAAATTTTCACACTGTTTTTGATTAATCTGAGACAATTGTGCTATACCCTAACGGTTACTATTACCTCCAATACTAACTTTCCCTACTCTTTTTATTCATCTACTTAAACAAGTCTCGATGATTACGTATAGATAACTGCCAATACCAAATACAAAAAAGGACATAATATGAATATCTGAGGTTAGAAGAAAGAGACGAAGAATATGAACAAGAGATATACAAGCGAGGACAGATACCATTGAGATATAATTTATTTATGAGAAAAGGTTCAAAAGATGGATAGAGATTTTATGGGATAGGCCCAAAAAGTCCTAAGAATAATGTAGCATTTCATTTTCTTAGTCATCAAAATTTGGATTGTGCTGTAGCAGTAGCATGATGTGACTACATTATCTCGTAGACTGTTTTTTACTGCGTCTAAGTATATAGTACTTCAGTTCTCTCTATAATTAATTTTGTCTATGCGTGATTATATTTATGTTAAAAGTACGTAATATTTCCCAGGAAATCAACTGCATATTACAAACGTAGCTGCACATTCTTTCTTGAAGTACTCATTAAGAATGTCTATATTAAACTTCTCTTTTTCACGTGCCATATTAGAATTATCCAACGTTGGTGATCACCATTGCGAAGGCTTCTCGATCTTCTGTCACATGAAATAATTTTCCTGCATTTGATATCCATTTGATATCGTGATGAGTCCATTATCCTCTACGGCCTTCCATGAATAAATCTTCCACTTTATATTCAGGTGTCTCACTAGAAAGAATGTGCTCCTCCTCATCTTTAACGTTTTCGTCCTAAAAAATAGTGATATAGAAATGTTTTAATTAAAAACTCGAGAGGAGTCTAAAAAGTATACTTACAGATACATCTCTATTGTCAGAGTGTATGTAAGAGGGATCATCAATGGCATCATCTTCATTTAACTCACTTTTTCATTTCTACTACCCTGAGATCCGTAAAATCTATTTGCACTAGCCGGATGTATTTCCATGGCGTGATGATATAAATTTACTTGACGGCAACGTCCTTTTAAAACTTGATTTTTTATTCTAATTTTAATTTTATATTTACCAATTTTATATGAAGTAATTACCTCACAATTCTTAAAAAAAATTAAAGATACTTTTTGCTTAGAAATAGTACAAAATGACTAAAACTTGTAAGAACTTGTATCGCACACGTGTAACCTTCGTGTAACAAATGACTGACGAGAACATCTGAAATCTTTTGGCGCAAAAACTGATTTTGATGTACTGAGATGGGGAGTTGCGCAATCACTTTGATAGAATGTATCTTTGTCTACACAATATTCACTTTAAAGTCACTAAAAGGCAAAAGTTTAGTTTTCTAATTGAATTTAATTTCGGTCTTGCCTGAAAGCAACGCTATGCAATATATGGTTAACTTACCATCTATTGTAATGTTCGCGGTTTGATTGTAGAACCATATGTTTTTAATAATTCTAAGATCTTTATCATCTATACCAACTTCTTCTTTCATTATCGACATCAGTTCATCATGCTTTTTATGCCGGAAGCCTTTTGGTAGCGAATGGTAAATAGAGCCTATAGTGTAGAGACAATATAACGTGATAAAAAATATTTAAAACTAAAATTAAGAAGCGATAACAGCCCTAACGAATCCGTTATATAAAACTAAAATTAATATTCCAGGAGAGGTTAATGGCTAATAAGCATATGGATGAAAACCTTACTTAACTCCCGGTTTCTTAAAAAAAATCAAGGAGAAATCCTTTTTCCATTTCCTTAGTAAATACGTGTTAACGTCAAAGAAGTTATTGAACAAAAGTTTAATTTTTTTAGAAGCTCTCTAGAAAATTGATTCCTTTAAATATTAACGTTCTAATGTTAAAAAAATATTCTAGATAAGTTTATATTTTATCTTGTTCAAATTTGATGAATTGATTTTATATATAATTTGATTATTCCCATTTGACAATTGTACCATTAATACAAGAAGTTTTTTCTTTCGCTAGATGAGTTTAGAACTCTAATGGTGAAGCGTCTATTTAAAGATAAATTGCCTGTAAAATCTCCATTCAGGTTCAGAGTTTCCTGGAGACCGTTTTGTTAATATAAGGGGCCAAGTAGTACGACATTTCATAACTACTTTCTCTCTTAGTAAAAAATGCTTCCCATACTTCAGTGTGGCGCTGTATGTATGGTTAAAAAGAACACTAAGCATAGCTTCGATCAAAACATGTGAACCGTGAACATTACGAGGTTATTGAATTATATCAGACAGTTTTTTCTCTATTTCACTGTGATTTATAAAAAAGCTTTGCTTTTGTTAATAAATTGCCTTCAAATAATTGAAAACATTAACGCATTAGATCATTAACATATTTGTTCTGAAAGTGATTTATGAGTTTTTCATGTTTCTTTCAGTTCATTGTCTCAGTCTCGGCGTGAAAGAGTAATTGTATATCCAAATAATTAATTTCATTAAAGAATGAAGAATCTGGTATTAGTCTACTATACGACCTTTATGTGTTTTGTTATATGTTTAGTCTGTGATTGTGCTAATTTGTATTCAAATTGGACAAATATTTCCAGTTTAGAAAAATGTGTCAGTTATATTCTAAAATCTACTGTAGATCACAAAGACATTGTTTATTTGGTAAATACTGATTTAAAAATTTCACATCCTGCTATATACATTAATACAGAATACGAGGTAAATCTGATACTTCAACAAGAACCTACTGTATACATTTTGACAGGAAACATTGATGGGGTAATTACTCAATTGTTTAATAATAGCTTACTAAATCCTAGAGCTAAGTTTATACTAGTTCAAAGCACTATTAATAATAAAACAGATATATTTAACCATTATTTTCTTCGTCAAGTTCTCATTATAGAATATAAGATGGAAGAACGTGATTATCAATTGTTTAAATGTACCGCCGAATCGTGCTATGTAACAGAAGATTCCTGTTACAAAACGTACATCAATGGTACTATATTTGACATCAGTCAACAAGGCGTATGGGATAAACTGGATGTGGTGTGGACACTTCATGCTCCTTATATTATAACTCCAACAACCGGTGTCCACATGAAAATTATAAACCTAATTGCTACACATATGAACTTAAAACTGAATTATATTCATACGCCTTATCCCGTCGTTCCTTTGGCGATAGATCCATTATTTAGAAGAAACGAGTACGACATGTGTTCTATACAATTTACTAATTTAACAAAACAGTTTGATAAAACTATTGACGTCACAGAAGATATGACAGTGTATATTATACCGAGGATTATTGTTACCAAAGAATTGAAGATGTTTTATTTGGAATTCGAAACCTTGATATGGTACCACTTCTTGATATTAATTTTAATTTTGTTTGTATTATTCAAAATAATTAATGCGTTAATTCCTAAAACTGATGTAATATCTGCATTTGACGTTATTCTAGGAGTTCTGCTTGAAGGAGTAACAAGTATGAATGCGAGAATTTTTTCACTGAAGATATTGCTGATAAACTATATTTTATTTTGTCTATTATTTTCTACTGCATACAAAAGCAAGATGTTCGATGTAATGAAAACGGATCTATCATCTCAACTGATCTCTACAACAGAAGACTTACTGAAGTATGAATTTAAGGTAGCTTTACCGACTGAGTATGTAAAATTGTTTAAAATGTCCCAAGACCCTTTTGATACTATAATTGTGGCCAATAATCGGATTGTAAACTGTTTAAACTTCACTATATGCCTCAACAGAGTAGCATTTCAAAAGGACGTTGTCACTACCCGTTTGCTGCGTCCCACACAAGCCCTTATTCCTCAGTATTATTTGGATTCAGAAGGCAGGTCCCTTCTTTACATTATTAAGAGGCCTTTCAGCGTTCCCTATTATTTTAGCCTGCTTTTTCGAAAAGGGCATCCCTTGTTTGAAGAGTTTAATAAAAATATCTTTTTACTTAAACAAGCTGGGTTTGTTGACTATTTGATCCAAAATCAGCAACGGTCTTATGAAAAAGCTATAGCACTTGCCAATATAAAAAGCTCATTTAGATATTCTGCTTTGAATTTAAAAATTTTGCAATCTACTTTTTTCGTGTATTTTTTAGGTATGGGTTGTAGTATGTTAGTATTCTGTTTAGAACTGTCATTACGAATACTAAATAAAATATTCCACCGAGAATTGATTTAATGAACAAAAATAATATCAAAGAACATATAGAATAGTAGATTTTGTGTACTCTTAAATATAGTATATTATCTCTACGTATACTTTGTTTACTTTTACCTTTCACTCTTGCTTCCTTCTTCAAAAGAGTTAGTTAGATAAATAACTGATTAATCGTTCCCAGATTTCGTGTAACTACGCTCTTTTGTATATGTTTTTAGCCTCCACCCTCCTACCAATGAGATATGTTCCCCATTTTCTTGCAGTCTCTGACTGTTTAGCAGTCCTACTTTTTGGTTTTAAGGTCCACCTCTACATAGTCCATCCATTTTTCACTGGGTCTTCCTTTTATTCTATTTCTATTTCTGTGACTTCTAAATCTAACAATATCTACTTCTTCTTCTTCGTCTTCTTAAGTTCCATTTTCTATCGAAAGTTGGAAATCGACATGACTTAAGCCACGATATTCTTCATCTTTCCATATTTCACTTTATGTGTCCGTATTCATGACAGCATTCATTAAGGCGTTGCATTATGTTCTGTAAATCATTGTTGTTATCCGTCATTATTACTATATTGTCTGCAAAACGCAAGTTATTCAAAATTTTCCATTGATATATATATATACCTTCTATTGAATCTGAGAGCTTGTTCTTTAAATACCGCTTCACTGTAGACATTGAAGAGTAGTGGTGACAGCACGTAACCCTGGCGGACTCCTCTCTGTATTTTGATATCTTGGGTGTTCTGATTGTCAGCTCTTACATTGGCAGTTTGATTCCAATATAGATCAGATAACATAATTTTCATATCACGACTGTCAATTTTTTGGTTTTTAATATATCTACAAGACAATTTTTATGTTGAACCTTATCAAATGCCTCTTCACAATCTACAAAACATAAGTACATGTCTTGATTCATACCCATGCATCCCTGGGCATTCAGTCCGAACAATGCATCTCTTGTACCCATACCATTTCTAAAGCCAAATTGTGTGTCACTAATTTCATATTGCAAGAGTTTTAAGAGAGTTTTAACAATTCTGTGATTTATTTTCAAAAATGTTTTAAGTTTGATTCATTAGCTATTGTTCTGTGAACTGAGCAGGACGTTGCACTTGACTTTTTCGGTATTGTGACAAAGGTCGATTACAGCAATTGTCTGGGGATTGTGGCAGTCTGATATATTACATTAAAAAGTTGAAACATTCCATCAATAATATCTTTATCAATGAGTTTTAATAATTCGATAGGCACATCATCTGGTTTAGTAACTTTGACTACTTTTCTGTTTTTGATGTCATAGATGACTTCTTTCCGTAATATTGGTGGTCCGGTATCCTCTGTGGTTTTTAATGATAGGTCTTCTCTTTCATCATTAAATAGCTTCTGGATCTAATTGGTCCAGTGTGACACAATATTTTCTTCATATCAGTAATAATATCTCATTAAGGTTTGCGATGAAGATGGTTTTAGCGCAGTCACAACACCTCGTGATTTGTATGTTGTACAAAATAGATCTAATATCAGACTCTATAGAAGTGGAGCGCAACACGCTCTTCTGGGTAACCTCTAGTCGAGGAGAGCTAGAAGATATTTTGCTCTATCGTACTATCTACCCTTGTTTAATTTGGGTTTATTTTGTCTGTTTTTCTGATGCCAAATGCTATACTTAGAAAGGCTCACACTACTGTTTTTTTTTTTGCTAAATACATCCTCTATTTAATTCATTAATTGCACTAAAACCACCAAACCTTTCCTCTTCGTAAGAATGCTACCTGGAATCAAATTCTATATCAGGATTGAGGTTCTTATACAATTATTTATCGTTGTTTTTTTCATAATTTTTAAAGCGAATTAGGTGAGGTTGGGATATTACTTACTTTGCCCAGTTCTAGCGATATTTCTTGGTCTCTTGTCTGTCTTATTCTGTTGATATCCACATGTTTTTATTTTTGTCAGATTTTTCTTAATTTCCTTCATTAGGTCTGCGAAGGTCTTTTCTTTAGTTTTATTTATTATGACTACTCCCTTTTGTTCTCTTGATTTTATGGTGGCCCACTCCTTTCTTATTCATTTTTCTACTAGCGTGATAATCACATATTTTTCTCTTGAAGCCGATTGTAGAATTCTTCTTGTTGTTTTAATCCTCAGGGTAACCGAAGTGTGGATTTCCACTTTTTTTCCAGCTCGTCCATCTTTTGTATTAGCTTTCTATTGGCTTTGGGGATCTTCATGGTCTCTAGTTCTTTCTTTATATTTAGAAGAACCTTAAATTCGTATTTCCCCTTATTTATCCATTCCCCATTCGAATGGGCAGAGATTGTCACTCTCATGGTCTCCAAACCACCCTCCTCGACCGCTTTCACCGGAGCATTTGGCAAATCTGGGAATATGGCCTTTATTTTTTCCATAGCCCTATTATTCCTTTCGTTTTTTGTACGAAGATTGCCACATCTTCTGTTGTTTCGGAAAGATCTCCTTCCTTGACAACTTTATGCGTAATTTTTAATCATACTCTTTTTCTTTTACTTACTTTTTCAGCATACATAAGTCATTTTGCTCGTACAGTTAACATCAGAGCGAAGCTGGTCCACAACAACTTAATATCTAATCTAATTTAAATTCAAAACACACGTTCATACTTTTATTTTCTTTTATTTTATCTATTTGTTGTCATTATTGACTAATAATTGATTAAGTCCTCTGTACTATTTAAATAATTGTTTGTTTGTTTTGTGATATACACATTCGTTTATATACACTATGTATTTTAGCCTTAGTTTCATGGGGTCCTGAAGGTGGTGTAAAAGTTTGTAAACAGTGAAACCAGTAGTCCATTTTTTTACAACTTAAACTTTAAATAAAACGTATTACGGATTGTGAGTTAAAGACTTATTTCCCTAACATTCATAATTAGAATTGTTCAGACAGAGCCCCTGTAAGAAACTTATGTGGTGCAAAATAATCGTCAATATTCAAAGAGGATATGGTACTATAAGTAGTTTGATTGATGATTGAATTTTCACTTAAACAATTTTATACTTTCTTATTACGAAACTATTTTCATTATTAGGCCATTAGAGTAATTGATTAATAAATGTTAAAGATTAAAACTGACGATAAAACTTTTATCTTGATTATAATAGATTGAATCAATTTTCATTTAATGTAAAACATGCATTGTCTACTGCAACATACTTGCTTACTATGGTTGATGTCTACTAGTATTGCCTCTTCTTTTTCTAGTTTCTCCATATTTAAGGCAAACTATGTCAAAGAAAGAACAGAAATTTTGATTAATAATATACTAATTTCAACTGCAATGGACATCGATCTCATTTATATAATTAATACAGATATTAAATTAACTTATCCGACAATTTATTACAATTCGCAAAAGCAAATAACAATGTTATGTAAAAATCCTCCTAGTGTGTATATTATTTCAGGAAATGTAACTAAAATTTTGCCTTTACTAAACGAATTGTCCGTCCTCAATAGTAGGGGATTATTTATTATTATATGTACCGCAATTAATCACGACGAAAAGTATATTTTAGACAAATATTTTATACAAAAAGTTTATATTATCGTTAAAAATGAAGATGCAAATATGTATGAAGTGTTTCAGTGTTCATTTAGACGTTGCCTTAATAAAAACATCATTCGATCCTGCTTAGGGTTTTTAAAGAATATTAAGTTTCAGAATTTACCGGCAGTGCAAGCTTTGTGGTCCTTTTATCCACCTTTCGTTATTAACTCAGAGGAGGGAATTCACATTGAGCTCATCAATATAATTGCTTCAACCGTAAAATTAAAAATAAACTACACAATCTCCCTTCATGTAGCCAATCCTTTTGAAATTGATCCAGAATTTTGTAAAGGATCTTACGATATATTTATTAACGCTATCGTTTTTCCTTCTCCGTTATTTGATAATACCTATACTTTTACAGAAGATGTAACCGTTATGGTATTCCCGGTTATTAATGTTAATAATAATTGGAAACTGTTTTATGGAGAGTTCCATTTATGTGTATGGGGATGCTTTTTGGGATTGATTCTTTTACTCTGTGTAATTTTTAAAATGTTTTCTGCATTTACCAATAAAATATCAATACTTAATATTATAGTAGGAGGTCTTCTAGGAGTTACTCAAATTAGTACCAGAAAAGTGTCGATGAGAATTCTAATATTAAATTACTCAATTTTTGGTCTGTTATTTACTACTGTATACAAAAGTAAAATGGTAGATATAATGAGAAGCGATCAGTCTACCCAGCTCCTAACTTCAAAGAAGGATGCTTTAAAGTATTTATTTAAATTTGGTGCACCCGGCCAATCTTCTATAGATCTAATGAAATATTCACAAAATCCTGTTGATGTCGCTCTACTACAAAAAGATTTAATAATCAACTGTGTTACTTCAGTTGAATGTGTCAATCGTACTGCCTTTCAAAAGGATATTATGTCAATGAAATTATTAAAGCCGTTGCAGTCACTATTACCCACGCTGTATCTGGATTCTAATGGAAGATCCTTATTATACGTATCCAATATGTTTGAATATCATTTTTATTTTAGTATTTATTTTAAGAAAAGTCATTATTTATTTAATATATTTAATACTAGACTCATGAATCTTAAAGATAATGGAGTTGTGGATTATTTGTACAAAAAATATAAGCGCAACTATACCAAAGCTATGACTCTCGCTAAGTTAAAAAACGTTAAAGGATATTCAAATTTAACCTTAAAGACATTTCAAACTACGTTTTATGCTTATATTATTTTTGTAATTTTTAGCCTTTTCGTTTTTACTGTAGAAATATTTCTTGGGTATAAAAGCACTAAAAAGCTCATCTGTATACATGCATTTTTATAGATGATTTCGCACTTATAACAATACTTTATCGTATAATTTTAAATTTTAATCAAATTAGACTATCACGTCTTTTCTTATTTTTATCTTAATTTGTAAGATTTTGAATATATAATTACATGCTTCTTTGCGTACAACTCTTAAAGATCACTTGTGGTCTCCTTCCATTTTTGACTTCCTCCCACACCAGTCTTACTGTTCATTCGTCAGAATGTCTGCTGAGGTGTCCTGCCCATTGGAGTCTTCTGGACTTTATTTCTTTTATGATTTTGGCGTCTGGGTAAAGTTCTTCGAGCTCTTTGTTAGTTCTTATCCTATATCGTCCGGATGCTTCATCCATCACAGGACCAAAGATCTTCCTTAGGATTTTTCTTTCCCAAACACATTTCGCTTTCATGCATCACAATGGGTTGTATGATTGTTACAGACCTGTATCTTTGTACGTCTTGTTAGTTGTTTCGATTTTATAAGGTTTTGGAGGGCAAAAAGACATATGTTGCCGGCCTGAATCCTGTTGTTTATTTCTTGTGATCTGTTATTGTCTTCAGTTATTGTTATTCCAAGATACTTGAATTCTCTTACTCGTTCAAAGTTAAAGTCATCGATGGTGATGTTCTGACTGATTCTGTCTCTCTGCTTAGGTTATTTTGGCTCATATACATATATTTCGACTTGTTTTCGTTGATTTGGAGCCACATCTTCTCTGCTTTCTTCTCGAACCTTACGAAAGTCTCCTTCATCCTTAATGGTGTGTTTCCTATTAGATCGATCGCTGTCCACAGTCTGTCCCTGCATACTCTATCAAATGCTTGTTTAAAAATCTATGAACATCTGATAAAGCTCACGATCAAACTCCCAGCATTCTTCCATTATCTGTTTTATTGTGAATATCTGCTCAATAGTATAGCGGCCCGGTCTAAATCCGCATTGATAATCTCCAACAATTTCTTCTGTGTATGTTTTGGTTCTTTCTAGCTGTCTAGCAGAATGTTTGCAAGGATTTTGTAGGTGGTGTTTAGGAGTGTTATTCCCGTGTAGTTAATACATTGCTTTTTGTTTCCTTTTTTTGTGTATTGGTACAATAACCCCTTCTTTTCATTCATATGGCATTGTTTCTTCTCGCGAAATGTCTTGAATTAGCTTGTGCATAGAACTGTACAACGCTTCTCCTCCATGTTTTAAGCTCTCTGCGGGTATACCATCGCTACCTGGTGTCTTATTATTTTTTAAGTTTTTTAATTACCTGGATTACTTCTTCGTATGTCGGGTATTGGTCTTTTTATCGCTTTTGCCAATTGTTGTGTACCTCAATCGTTGTCAGTTTATTCCATTTTCAAGTATTGCAACAAATTGTCTTGTTAACGGAAGAAAATAAAATCCACCACAGAAAGAAAGAGAATGAGATGAGCACGGAACTTCAAGTATTACAAGATCTAAGTAAACTAACAGAGACGAGAAAATTTTACCAGACACTGAACAAAAGTAAAAAAGGAATTCAAACAAAAAAGATAAGAAAATAAGGATGGTAATATATTGACAGAACAGCAAGAAGATGGAATTTCTGAATGAGGCCGAAAATGTTTTAGATTATATTGATATATGTATTGGATGTTCGTTTGTAATACTCCATTTAACGTTTTTTATAAAAATGTTACTTTTAATTATGTATTCTTAATATGCCATACGCTAAATAAAAAATCTACTGATACGCTTTTTGGTAAAACTCATAAGGACAGGTAAATTATACAGTAACTTACAATATCACGCTTATCACTCATTTCATTATTTCTTTGCTGGAGTATAGAGTTATATAAAAACTAGTAATATATGATATACTAGTAATAAATGTATAATCTGAATATTTTCGAATGTATTTTATACTGGTAAGTTGGCACTTTAAATAATACTTAACAGTTTTGAGCTTTGCGATACTTACCTACTTCTTAAATATTTTTTAAAATATTTTCATATGATTATTATACAATGATTCTCACGCTTTAATATATATCTTATTCGGACAATAAAAAAGTGAATTACGAGTCAAACTGAAACAGTCCATGATTTAACTGAAATCCCTAGTTAATAAGACAAGAATTTAGTAGTGTTTAATTTTTCCACCAACTGGTCTTGTAGTAACTCGATCACTTTAAATTCCTCTGCCACTCTGCTTTAGTATCCGGTTAGTTAATATAAAAATTTTTAACTCACATATACACGTACGACGCAAAACGAACTGGATGTAGATATTACCCGCCATCATCTCCGTAATATCAGTTTTCATCTATAAGTAAATTAGCAAAATAATCATTCTATATCAGATTAACGGCTTGATAAGGTGTTTGGTTTTGCGGAGCTGATGGTGACCTCAATGAAATTGCTTTTTCATGGTAACTAAGTGGGCAAACTAAGAGACAAAAATTATAAACGACTGAGTATTATTATACAAGTAAAGTAAGTAGAACGTATCAATATTCTGAAGCTTTGTAATATATAATATAAAATTCAGATTAATCAATAATTTATTTTGTGCGCAGTGCAAGTTAATACTGTTTTCCACAACAGGTGCACAATAAGAATGCTATACAATACAACATTTGAAGAGTGGAAATATATAACGGGCTAAGCAACAAAACCATTATTTTACAAAAAATGAGTTTTTTTTCAGTAAACACAGTGGGAAAAGAAAAATTTTACAATCTTGTATTTTATTGCAAAGTACAAACATTTTTACACAAGTCTATGGTTTTTTGTTTTTTGAATCTTTTAGTTACGTACACACTGATAAAAATAGTTTCTTTAGTTTAAAAAAATATAACGGGATATGTGCACAAGGTAATTTCTTATATAAAGGGTTATGTGTAAACATTGAGCCAAAGGATAAGTAAATAGAATATGCTTAAATAATTCGAAACAAGACAAAATAAAGTGTTTCAGTATTAAAGTAATAATTCTTGAAAAATGTCTTTACTTTCTTCACTTAAGTATTCCATCATTTCGCCAAGGTGCTTCTTCTTGTCCGCCGTCAACCTGCTTCTACATTCCAATGGTAATAAGGACGATGCAACATTTTCCATAGTAATGCCTTTCTTAAAAAATGCTTACTTCTTGCCATTCCTCCAAATCACTGAAAGTTTTACGAATGCAATTAAGTTTAGAAATTGAATCCTGAGAGTTTTTGCAGATGCAGCATCGAAATCATAAAAATCGTTAGTCTCTAATAATGTTGCTACGTAGGGGTGACCAAGCCGTGCAGAAACAATTAATTTGACTAAATCTAAAGGAACCTCGCAGCGGAATTTCTCTTCTTTTTCTCTATTTGTGCGAAGTCGCGATCGCAACCTAAAAACGAGTGGCCTGAAACAAGGTATTTTTTTATATTTCGTCAATAAACTCTTCTACAATCAAAAAAATCCATAAGTAAAGCAACATCCGGTTTTTATTTTGTGCACCGCAATTGTCACTCCAGAATATCAATTTACGTTTTGGTGTAATTTTGCAGCAACGCACTGCTTTCAATATTGCAGATGCAATTTCATTTACATTGCTACCTGTTTGTCCTTCATGCCACAAAAAAGTAAAAACGCCATTGTTGTCTCCGATATAAATACCAAAGTTGTAAACACTCAGTTGCCTTAAGTATATATTTTACTGTGTGTTAGAGCAGGAAGACTAAAAACTTACTGAAGGTCCATACTAAACGTACAAACATCACTATTGGGCATTTGCGACTTCTTGTGATCATTATCCATTTTTTTTCTTGCCTTCTCAGCTTTACGATGGTGTAATTGGAGCCAGATTAGGCGATCGTGGTGGCCAGGTAAATGGTTGATGTGATATTTATCCATGAAGGCTAACGATTCTCTGTAAACATGCGGGATGGTAATATATTTAAGGGGATTTTGTATGGTGTTTAGGTATGAAATAAGATGAGGCTCCACTCATCATCATCATTCATGCTTTACAACCCTACGTGGCTCCTAGCCTCGTCAAGAATTTCTCTCCAGTCGTCCATATCCATCGCCTTTCTCCGCCAAGCAAGTATTTCCATATGTTCATGTCTTCATCGATGTTATCAGAAACCTTATTCTAGTCTTCCTTTTCTTATCTGACCAATGAGTCTATCAAGGAGCGTTTTTCTAGCTGGGTCATCTTGTTCCATTCGCATTACATGCCCTATTCACTATTATAAGCAATATTCCCGGTTCTATAGAATTCCTTCTCTACACCAGAGCAAACGGTTACGCCGATGTTCAGCTGTGAGAGGTACCACTCAATATAGGCGATAAGCCAGAAGTCTTAATCGACGATCTTGTCGCTCTATGGTCCCTCTGTAATGTCCAGAACCCCTCACTCGGTGTCCTAGGCCTTTTTGAGTCCACGCTTGTTCACACTGCTGTATACTGCGTAAGGATCCCTTGGTCCTCCTAGAGACTTCTCTTATTAATTAACCGGCTTCATACAACCCGATTCCTCTCAAAGTTACTTGGCTGGGACACCCGGATACGCACTCTGGCCATTTTGAGCAATATAAAAAGGCTTCTCAATCAGCTACACGACATTTTAAATTTTAAATTTACCACGTAAATCTACGTAAATTCATGAAATTTTAGTACGTCTTTATCACCATACCATTCATGCAGCCACCACAAAAACTTAACAGATAAACCCTGAAAATTTTATCAGTTGTTCATGGCAAGATAAGTCTACGTAAAAAATTAATGATTTTTAATAAATATACAGACGTGTTACCTTTTTTATTACTTAGTATAGTTTTTAAATTTTTAATCAGATGTCTCGAATTTCTACTTTTGTAGAAAGAAATCTTGTCTTACTTCCGTGGGGTAATATATAGCCTACTAAAAAAAATTTCAGGGTAACCCTCGTATTTTATCAAGTGTATTGAGAGTTGGGTTAGTTATATCAGTAAAATACTAATTTACGAAAACATTATAAATACATGTTCGTGTATGTTGTTTTTTGTAATTCAATTTCTTCGTTTTGTA